GTGTTGATGCAGCTCCACGTGACTACCACAGGACATTCAAGGATTTCTCAAACATGCATGAATGAGTCAAAGCCACACTCTGGGTATGTTTTTGATAAAGAAATGACATCATAACATGATACAAACCTTCCATCCATCCATTATCTATACCTGTTTATTCCTTTTCTAGGGTCACAGGGGTCACTGGTGTCCATATCCAGCAGTCACAGCCTCAACTCTTGGAGTTTTTAAATCTCTTCTTAAAACACACCTGTTTTCAAAAGCTTTTAATGTAGTTTGAGAGTTGTTTCCCTATTTATTTGGTCTGTTTTTATGGTTTTATCATTTGTGTTCTTTTAGCAATGCTTTGTTTTTAGTTTGCAATATGTGAAGCTCTTTGGCCAACGGCAGCTGTTTTTAAACGTGCTATATAAATAAAGTTGACTTGACTTCTGGAAGAATGGTCAAAATCCCCCATAAACACTCCTAAACCTTGTGGACAGTCTTCAGAAGAGCTGAAGCTGTTCCAGCTGCAGATTGGACCAACATCATATTGAACCTATGGATTAGGRTTCAGGATCACTGTAGAGCTGTATGACTGTATCCTGAGTCACTGTTACAAGTACTGTAAAGCAGTGAGTGAGTCTCTGTGTAAATAAAGACATTTTCATGTATGAATTCCATAACGAGTCTAACTGTGGACAAAAATGTGTGCAAAAATCTTGTAAAGTTTAGACAGCTCAAATGTTAGTTACCTCATCACACTGTGCACAATATGGTAAATGGTACTGAACTTATAGAGCGCTTTTCAAGTCCCTCCGGACCCCCAAAGCGCTTTACACTAACAGACATTCACCCATTCACACTCACATTCACACACTGATGATGGCAAACTACACTGTAGCCACAGCTGCCCTGGGGCACACTGACAGAGGTGGGGCTGCCATGCACCGGCGCCACCGGACCCTCTGACCACCATCAGTAGGCAAGGCAATAGTGAACAATGTAAGAGTAATATAAGGGTTGATCAATTCTTTAAGCTACATTTAACATACACAGCTTYGAAACTAAGCATTCCATCCTTTTTTTCTTCTTTTCATTTGTTTTTTTGTTTTTTCTGATACTCTGGCTCCATAGCTCAGTACTCTGCATGTTTCAGCTACAAGTGAGAAATCTCCACGCAGGAGAAGTGAAAYGTTCAGGAATCAAAAACAAAGTATTTCCTTTGATTCAGCTTGCCTTTTTTATTCTCTTTTTTCATTTTTTTAAGGAGTGAAAAAGGGCGATCGAGTGTCTATTTACATGCCCATGGTTGTRGAGCTGGTGGTCGCCATGCTGGCTTGTGCCCGTATTGGAGCTGTGCACTCTGTAGTGGTGAGTTTAAAATRAAAATCTAAAACTTGAGGTGATTTGAAATGAAAAATGCAAGTTTGTAAATCTTGTCTGTTCCTAGTTTGCAGGTTTCTCTGCTGAGTCTTTGTGTGAAAGGATCATCGACTGTCAGTGCTCCCTGCTCATCACAGCAGGTCAGTTTTACATTAGGAACATTAGAAACAAAACATCAGTCAGACCTTGTGCTAGAAGACCCTAGAAGCTTTACATTTTAGAGGACACAGTTTAGCTGTTGCAGAATGATGAACCTGTCTAAGCTTGTAAAGCTGAGTAAAGTGAAGGTGAGTCCTGCCCAGTAATCAAAGTTTTATTAGACAAATTAATCTATTAGACAAATTAATCTGGGGATAAAACTTCTTAAGCCATCAGCTTTAAGATGTGCTTTACAGTCCTCAATCATTCAAAGAATACACATAGGTCTTTATAAGTAGCTGAGCTTCTGTTGTTCTGTTGTGAAGAAAGCACTGGTGTTTTAATGAACAGGATGGACTGTCCTGCAGAGCGCTCCAACTATTATTCATATCTATCTATCTATCTATCTATCTATCTATCTATCTATCTATCTATCTATCTATCTATCTATCTATCT